CAGTCTCATCAAGTTCATACTCCATGAATGTGTCCTTAAAGCTGGGATTCTTTGTTGTAGTGCACACCACCTTGCAATTATGTACATTTAACTTCATTTGCCACATTTTTGCCCGCTAACCCAACTTGGGGAGATCCTCCTGGAGCTCTTCAGAGTCAGCCTTGGTTTTTACCATCCTAAATAATTTTGTGTCATCCACAAACTTGGCCACTATGCTACTCACCCCTAACTTATGAGCAAATTAAATAGCACTAGCACCAATCCCGATCCTTGTGGAACACCACTGCTTACTTTCCTCTGTTGAAAAATCTGTAAATTTATTCCTGCTGTCTGCTTTGTTTCATTCAGACATTTTTTAATCTAGGAAAGAACCAGTCCTCTTATCCAATGACTCCTAAGCTTACTCAGGAGACTTTGGTGAGTTACCTTGTCAAAAGCTCTTTGAAAATCCAAGAATATAATGTCTACTGGGTCAGTTATCTACACATTTGCTTACTTCGAGAAACTCCAAAAAGTTGGTTAGGAAAGACTTTCCTTTGCCGAATCCATGCTGATTTTCCCCACAATAAGCTTTGTTCTTCTATGTACTGAATAATTCTATGTTTGATTACAATTTCTACTAATTTTCCTGAAACAGATACTAGGCAAACTGTTCTGTATCTCCCTAGTTCCCCTCTGGACGCTTTTTAAAAAACTGGTGTAACATTTTCCACTTTCCAGTTCCAGACAGTGGGTGATAGTAGTGACAAATAGATCAAATCTTTTACATTTGAGTTCCTTCATTAAGAACTCTTACGTGTATGCCATCAGGACCTGGAGACTTATTGTTTTTTAATTTCCCCCAAAGGTCTAGAACTTCAACTCTATTTGACTCCGTTCTTCAGACTCAGTTCCTGAAAACAGGAGCCTGGGTATATGTCCACAGTGAACACAGATGCAACAAATTCATTCACTTTCTCAGAAAAAAAACTGTGTGCCTTCTTACAGAGTCTGACCTTTTATGAAGTCTGGAGCTGTGAGCTGTGGTTCTACCCCTGGAGTTAGACAACATCAATCAGCTGACTCAGCTTACTCAGCAAAAGCCTCTCCTAGCAGGACCATGAACTAGAACACACACCAAAAGCTAGAAGGAGATTTTCAGACAGAGACATGCTAAACAGCTCATGAACCATACAGCCTCAAGCACACACTTACCCCTCTTTGCCTCTTAACACCAATTCCAAGCTCAGCTCCCTTGTCAAAAGCCCCTGCTCGAAAGCACTGCATGCAAGCACTGCTATGCAAGCCCCCAGGAAACTTATGTGTCCTCTTATAGAGTCTGACTTTTAATGAACTCTAAAGTACAGCTGTTTCCACTCTTCTTTACAATAGCTGATGTTTCCCTCTAGACCCCATCACCTCCAATGGAGATTAATTGAAACAAGCAAACAAAAAAGTTTAAAAGGGCCAAGAGCTCATGTGAAGTACAGCTGTTTCCCCTCTTCTTTACAATACCTGATGTTTCCCTCTAGATCCCATCACCTCCAATGGAGATTAAATGAAACAAACAAACAAAAAGTTTAAAAGGGCCAAGAGCTCATGAGACTACTGCAAAAGATCTTGGCCTCCATGATATTTGGGCAGCCTGGTCAATCCAAAATGATGGCTGCATTCTCACAAAATAATATAAAGAGATCTCAGCACATTTTAACAATGTTGTGTTCTCTTTCAACCCTAAGGTTAAAAATTTTCTGAAAACCTGGGTGTTTCACTAAGTTTGCAGAAACACCTACCCTAGACTGAGAGGCCTCCACTGTACTGATTTCTTTTGATACACACCGTGGGGCCACCCATGGCTACTAGATAAATGAAGGTCTTCAGCCATCATATGGTATCAAACTCGCTTTAACTTTGGGCTTTACAGTTTAACTTCATACAAGGACCAATGCTGGGCAAAAACCATCCCACTGGTTTGATTCAGAATGGATCCACCCCAAACAGCTTCGGTTTGATTTGGATCAGGGTGAGATAACTAGTTTAACCTCCACCTAAGTTTCTCTTGCCGCTGGCGCATCCCCGGCCTTCAGCCGAACTGCGCATGCATGAGCATGCGCAGTTCGGCAGCCTCCCCCTCCCGAGCGTCCCTACCTCCCTGGCATCTGATCATGCTGGGGAGCAACGGCGCGTGGTGCACGGGATCCATGGGAACCCGCCCGCGCGCCTCGTTTTTGGTGCGGCTCTATTTAGCCGCGCTTTGCCGGGTGTTTTCCCTGCCGTGTGGCAGGGGCCACAGTTAACTTCACACAAAGACCAATGCTGGGCAAAAACCATCCCCACTGGTTTGATTCAGAATGGATCCACTTCAAACAGCTTAGGTTTGATTTGGATCAGGGTGAAATAACTAGTTTAACCTCCACCTAAGTTTCCTACTGAACTCCTGAAATCAGTACAAGCAGAACAACGTCCAGTCACCTCCACCGTCCAGACTCTTTTCCAAAGTCAAAACCAACCATTTTAAGAGGCTACTGCAAGAAGGGCTTGACAGTAGCCTAAAGGTTCCATACTGAGGTCTGGCCAGGCACGCGGACACACAACAGCAAACAATGAAATGGGCACATGTGAAAAACGTGCTTCCCCTGTTTTTCAGTCCAGGGAGCACCTCTTATGCTAGGCAGCATATGGACAATATTCCCCATGCTTTGCACTATAGTAGATGTCTGTAAGGATTCACTGTTGATAACGGCATGCAGCTGGCAGCCTGAAACAGGCTGGCTGGGGACATTTTCCTCTGGCAAGGAGGCATGAGGGCATCGGCCGGGACGGGACTCGATGACTGCTGCCAATGCAGAAGCAACTGCCTTTCCCTCAGCCTGGAATGATAAGCCACTTTTCAGGTACCCCCTACAGTTCATGAAATGACTGTTTTTATCACATCCGTAAGCCAGCATTCTTTTCTTTTGTTATCATTTGTTGGTGGCTTCCTCTTCCATTTTTGTTATTGTTTGTGTTCCTGCTTTTGCAAACATTCTCTGAAGCCTGACGGAGTTTTGAAGTCTTTTATTAAATGGTTCTACTTGTGCCTTAAGTTACGTGTTGAGTGCTTGCATTCCTCTCCTTAGATAAGGGTCCAATTCTGACAGCCATTCTACTTTCACAGCCAAAGCCTCAAGCCTTTGTTGCCAGTAAGCCTTCTTCACCACCTTCATCACCTTTTTTCTTTAGTAAATTAGAACTGATTTCAAATGGGCTGGGTGGGAGAGTTGACACATATATATTCCAGGTCTAATCTCTCCTCCCACAACCTGGTGCCATCAACTAGTTAACTCTACCACTGATACTCATCACTTTACCAATCTGAAATGGTCCCAGGGAGTTGCTATTTAGAATAATAGAATCACAGAATCACAGAGTTGGAAGGGGCCATACAGGCCATCTAGTCCAACCCCCTGCTCCATGCAGGATCAGCCTAGAGCATCCCTGACAAGTGTTTGTCCAGCCGCTGCTTAAAGACTGCCAGTGAGGGGGAGCTCACCACCTCCCTAGGCACCTGATTCCACTGTTGAACAACTCTTACAGTAAAAAGGTTTTCCCTAATATCCAGCCGGTACCTTCCCGCCCTTAATTTAAACCCATTATTGCGAGTCCTGTCCTCTGCTGCCAGCAGGAACAGCTCCCTGTCGCTATATGTTTCCCCAGTGGGACAAACAGCAACTCCCTGGGGCCATTTGTGGTTTGGAAAATGGAGCTTAAAGCTTCCCTTCCTTGCAACTGTAGTCCCAATCTGAATTAATACTCCATGCACCTGGTTTTTAGAAGGAAAGCAAAGCTGTGGCTTCTGTGCATGAAAAAAAATCCTATTCAAGACCTGAGGAAGAAAATTACAGTGGACCTCAATACATAAAATAAATGTTTTATGGTGTGAATGAAGCAAATTGTACAGTAAGTAAAGAACTCTAGTGAAACATCACACCAACAGGCTTAGTAAATCATGTACAAAACCAATTATCTTGTAGAAGTCATGATTTTTTAAAAAAAGAAAAATGTAGGATACTCTATATGCTCAACTGATGAATTCAATACTTCATTATAAACACAAAAATGTAGCTGAAAATGTTAGCCACAAAATGAAATTAAACTGCAAGTGCAATAAGGATTCATTTTCATATAGCCATGTCACAATTTTATGAGCAACCTGTTAGGCCACAGTTAATGTTTTCCTCTGGTAAGAATGGAGCAGGAGATGTCAAAGCAAGAAAAGCAGAATGAGGCTTTTGATTGGGAAAGCTTTATCAACGGTTTCTCATTTTTATATAGGAAATCAATTTGCATCACTGATAATATCATTCAAATCAGATGACACTATGTAGTTAGAAGGTAATTTACTTTTCTGCCGAAGCAATTTGATAGTTGTTTTGATTTGTGATTTTCATTTTGTTTGTTAATGAAAAAAATTAATGAGCAATGTTACTGGAAGTACTACCCCAAGCACTGGCATTATTAAACATGTTTTCAATATACTGTACTTTACATTGATTGCACAGCCAGAGCTCGAACTTTTACAGTTAAAAGAAAAACAGTCAATCAATCCAATGTAAAATTTGCACCTACCTTTGCACTGATTTGTGTTTTTGTCTAAGATTGCTTTTGTAGAAACAATTTTTCCATACCTGAAAGGGAAAAAGGATGCTTAGTTTACGGCATTTTAAAGTATTTATGCCAAGCATACTTAAAATACAGGTTGTGTTCAGACAGGCAGTTTGGCCCAATATAGGCACATTTTACAAACGGATTAAACGGTCACGATCACACAGCCACATCTGTCAGGCGTTCCCCGGGCATACTCACCCCATCAGAGGATGACTTGGAGCCGGGTTAAAAAGCCACCACCTTCGAAGTGGTGTTTTTGTTTCCCCACACATTCATTGCACATGACCGGATGTCTGAACACAGGGGACCGTGCACATAATGGATTTGGCAGTGTGAACCTGCAGATCCATTCTGCCGCTACGGAGGCATTTTAAAAAAAGAATTGCCTATGTGTGCATGCATGCATGCGCACTACGCACACACATGGGTTTTGGATATATATATATTTTTTTGCAGTTCGCTCCATGACTGAGGTGCCACAATAATGTGGATGCTTTACCACAGGATGTCTCCATGGGTAACCCACAGCAGGGTGTGCTGTGTGGCTGATATAACCCACTACACTTTAACCCGGTTCAATTAGAGGTGGCACCATATCACGCCAAGCCGCCATTGTGATCACAGCTGCAGAAAGAAGCTTAAGCACTATTGAAAAATGCAGCACTAACAGTACTGGATGCAACTGTACATAACAGAGGAGACGGTCCTACATGGTGCTCTTGCGCTTCTGCTCTGACCTTCACAGGCTACCCTTATCCACACAGTTAATTATCTATGTTCACTCATAATCAACAAAGAGACCACTCAATGGCAGCAATTTTTTTTAATGTCAAGACAAAGAAGTTTTGTTGAGTACATTGATTAAATCAAGTTAAACATCCGTTTTTCAAATTAGGTCCAAAGAATGGGTGATTTCCCATGAAAGACGGAGGACCACTGTCTAAAATTTGCAGTCTGATGTTACATTAGCTATCCCAAAGGGGTGTATATTTGCAAGAAACTAAGGCAGAACACTGGATGCAGTTCATAAAATAACTGTTATATGAATAGTTGGAGTGAAATATATGTTCATATTTCTAGCACTAGAAATGGGGGGGGTCACACAAATATTATTTAATATTTGCCTACTGCTTCTCTGTTGCCAAAGTGGAAGAGCATAAAAAACCCAATACAATTAAACATATTTTTAAAAAATCATATAACACCTAAAACTCCTTACAAAAAACCTTTTAAATCCCTAGCATAAAATCAAACCCAAAAACCTTCATTGGCGCAAGGTTATTCATTAAATGTTTTCCCAAAGAGCCAGTTTTAGTCAGCTGCAAGAACTCCAAGAGAGAGAAGTTGGCAAACATGCTTCTGTTAGAAGCACCTTCCAGAATGCAAGTGCCAGTACAGAGATGACACAACTCTATGCCTTTGCAGATCTCACATCTGTGAAAAGTGGGACACTGAGAAAGGTCCCCCCTGCAAATCTAAGGGAGCAGGGAGGAAATTATGAAAGGAGGTGTGCCAAAAGGTCTATAAAGAACATAATCACTAGGATTTGTTATCGACCCCAGAAGTGTATAGGCAGCATTGCAGCTGGCCTGAATATACTGGCAATATGCCCTCTATAGCTGTCCCTGACAAGAGACAACATGTAGCTTTCTTCATTAGCTGCCACTTGTGAACCATGTCCAAACACAGCTTCATGTAGAGCACATTACAGCAGTCATGTACAGGAGGTTACCAAAGCATGGTTGACTGAGACCTGTTGGGGGAAATCAGAAGCAGCTGTCTCAGCAGCCAGAAAAATGTCCCTGGCTATTCCTATTATCTGAGGATCCAGCTCAAAATGGTGTCTGGGAGAATCCCATATGAGCAAATTACAGCAGTCATGTACAGGAGGTTACCAAAGCATGGCTGACTGAGACCTGTTGGGGGAAATCAGAAGCAGCTGTCTCACCAGCCAGAAAAATGTCCCTGGCTATTCCTATTATCTGAGGATCCAGCTCAAAATGGTGTCTGGGAGAATCCCATATAATTTGTTGTTGTTCAGTCACACAGTCAAGTCTGACTCTTCGCGACCCCCATGGACCAGCTCCCGCCAGGCCCTCCTGTCTTCTGCTGTCCTCTGAAGTTTGCTCAATTGCATGTTTATTGCATCGCTGACACTGTCCAACCATCTCATCCTTTGCCGTCCCCGTCTTCTTTGACCTTCAATCTTTCCCAGCATCAGGGTCTTCTCCAGTGAGTGCTCCCTTCTCATTTGGTGGCCAAAGTATTTGAGCTTCAGTTTCATTATCTGGCCTTCCAGGGAACAGTCAGGGTTGATTTCTTTGAGGATTGACTGATTTGTTCTTCTTGCAGTCCAAGGGACTCTCAAGAGTCTCCTCCAGCACCATAGTTCAAAAGAATCTATTCTTCGGCGCTCGGCCTTCCTTATAGTCCAACTCTCACAGCCATACATGACTACTGGGAATACCATTGCTTTGACCATGCGGACTTTTGTTGGCAGGGTGATGTCTCTACTTTTTATCATGCTGTTTAGGTTCGCCATCACTTTCCTCCCAAGGAGCAGGCGTCTTTTAATTTCATGGCTGCTGTCACAGTCTGCGCCCATTTCACTTCACATTCCAGGATGTCTGGCTCGAGGTCAGTGATTATACCATTGTGGTTGTCAAGGACATCGAGGTCTTTCTTGTATAGTTCTTCTGTGTATCATATCATAATATCCCATATTATAATCACATCTTAAAGTGCTAAATGTAATCCTATCTTACATAAATAAAATATCCTAAGATCTAGACTGGCCAAGCACCACAACTCTGAAGAAGCTTGTCTAGATAAAGCTTCAGTGTGTTCGCCCGTATTCAGCCAATAATTGCATTCAGGAATTCATGCAAACTCTGAACAGCTGCTTCTGGATTTGATAAAAATAAAATTTTAAAAATATATCTGATGATACTGCACTCCAGATCAAGAAACATCTGCTGTATGTACAAAAGAGTCACAATGGAGTCTTACAAAGATCCACCAGGTTCCTCAAGAATTCGTCCCTGACTCTTATGATGGAAGTCAACATGCTTATGTACATATGATACACCAATGGGCCCTAATTGCAACCATTCTAGTGGCCATTTTAGAATACCTGCTATTGGCTATCCCTTCCATACTCAACTGGGGGCAGATTATGTCTTTTTCAAATATTATTAACTGTACTTGCCTTTTAAATACTCTTTACAACAAAAATCAGTAAGAAAAAACAGGCAGTCATCCAGTGAGGGTGTTACTTATATTATTTATCTTGGCCTTCCAAGAATTTCAAGACAGCACTCATAGTTCTTTTGCCTCCATTTTATCCTCAAAACCACCCTGAAAGTTAGGTGGGCTAGGGTATCAAAGAATGTGATTGGCGCAAGGTTATTCATTAAGCTTTGTGGATTTGAACCCACAGATTTCTAAATCTAGACTGCCATGTGAACCACTACATGATATCAGCTTTCATTACCTGACCACAACTAGCACAGCAGATTTCCCCTTCTCAGCTTGCTCCACTCTTGTGCTTCAGTCATTTGTACAAGTCCAAAGCCAGTGAGCTAAATGAACAGTATCATTAAAGTAAAGTAATTCTATCTCATCAAAAATTTTTTAAAAAGACCACCCCAGACATGCAGCATCACCGACTAGTCTCTCCAAGACTCACCTTGAAGGTTAGAATTACTCTGGAATTTTGCTCTTTTATCTCTTCTATCTAGATTTTAAAAAGACTTTTTAATTGAGTATAACTTCAAAGCTGCAGAGAACACTAAAACCGTACAGAGTTCTACATTCAGTTTGATTTGACGTTGTATGAGATTTGTCTTTTTCATTACTCAATACCTATGAAACAAATGCAAATAATATCAAGCAGATGGAAATGTGTTGGTTGAAAGGCTACATGTGTTCAGAAAGATGTCCAACAAAAAAGTTCTTAATCAGTAAATACCCCTCTCTATAACTTCAAATGCTGTCCAAGCCTTAGCTGTAAACACATCTTTTGTTTCCACAATTCTTCAGAGGAAAATTAATCTCTAGTGTTTTAGTATAAGGACTCCTATGGGTCTCTTTTTTGGTTCTGTTCTTTGTTCTTTTAAAAGACTTTGTGCTCTGGTTAGCATCAGAGAGACATTTGATCAACTATTGGTTGTCATATTTACAGCTGGATGTGTCTGATTTTTTGTTTCTTGTTCACCACCATACCAAGGGACCAATCAGATTTCAGTCAGCTACACCCTGTGGCCACTGAAGCCAGCAAAGCATTCCATATAGGACAATGACAAGGGGGCCTCAAGATTATGCTCTGAAATATCTCCCTCTCTCCTTTAATATCTAGCCTGATGAACTGTCTTGAAAAACTCAAAAGTCTTGTTCACTGTATTATATTATTCTGATTGGTCTACACAGAAAGATATTATATGACTTTTGTTTTTGGATTTTGCTATGAACCAACAATGGCTACCTACTTTTTTTAATACTCAGCTCACATGAGTTAATACCTATAAATGCCTTATACTTCATATACGTGACCTAATGGCTTCAGTGCAATTGGTCAAAACTGTCAAAGAAAGGTTCAATACATTAATCTCACCACAGAGATTCCACCAAAATGTCATCCAAACAGTGACACTGTTCCTTGTTTCATTGTTCTCTTTGAGCTTGCTTCTACTGTCAATATTCAAAATCTTCCTTTCTTCCTTAGAATTTTTGATGTAAAGAAGGAAGCTTCTCTAGGAAGTTGTAAATACTGATTATGGTTTTTGTCCTCACACGTCTACCTATCTTATCCTATTACCCCGAGAGCCAGCGTGATGTAGTGTTTAAGAGCGGTGGACTCTAATCTGGAAAAACAGGTTTGATTCCCCACTCCTTCACATGAAGCCTGCTGGGTGACCTTGGGCCAATCACTTGTCTCAGAACTCTCTCAGCCCCGCCTACCTCACAAGGTGCCTGCTGTGGAGAGACAACGGGAAGGGCACTGTAAGCAGCTTTGAGACTC